TACATATTATCATGCATCTGGTGCCAATAAAAATATCACATGATGTATTGCCCTTAGCAACAAATATAGAGTAGCCTAGGAGTACATGTCGAGTCACACCCTCAACGCATTTCACTAGGAGGACATATTATCATGGTCTAGTCAAGATAATTGAGTTGCATAAGATACATCCCATGCACATAAAGGGTGATCTTGAAACTTCTAAATCAAGTTATTCCCAAAGATTGATCCCCCAAGCTTTTACACAAGGGGGTCTTCCCTAGCGATGTATTCCATACCGTACCCTTAAAAATAATTTTATGCATGTAATGCATGTCAAACAAACTTTATGCATGAAAATTCACATGATCTCATTAATTCACATATCACACGTCTTATCATATCATACCCTTCATCAATCACTCGTATACATACACATATAGGTTCATTTACATTTCAACTCCATAACATAAGAATGACATCATGGAATCTATGGAACCTTAAACAAAACTCGAAGATGGAATGACACTTGACAACACATGTCCTGCCTCATATTTGATATCTCTAAAGGACCATGTTGGTCTCTGTCTAGACTATGCCCAAGGTGACTAAGCCCATGCCCATTGAAAACACAACGAAATGCCCATGCAGTGTCCACACCTAGCGAGCATCATCTCATGCCTAGTGAAAGCATCACAAGGAGCCCCCAAGAGTTTCTACACCCAATGTGAGAGACCCCGAGAGTAAATTTACTCTCAACCTTAACGATGCCAAACACACCTCATACAGCGCTAGACACCGTATCAGAAACCACACATACTACAGAATCACAAAATTGCAAACACGTACATCAAAACCAAAATTTCACATTCCAATCGGTAAAAGATTTCCAAATCATGTAATAAATATTTTAAATAACACAATTCATCCATACAATTACATACTCAAATAATCTCTTCATACAACCACTAAAGCCTTCCTTTAGGGTTCCCACAAGAACCCACAGAAACACCAAAACAAACAATTTTAAGCCAATTTTGAAAATTACCAATACATACATATAATTTACATCAAAATAGAACATACAAGGAGAAACAGAGAAAATAAAGACACATTTGGGAAAAACCCCTCATATATAAACATACAATAGAGACGAGATTAGGGTCAATCGCACTATCTAACATACAATTCCACATCCAAAACGAGATTTCTCACTCCTTTCTTACCTTAATAAGCACTAGACAAAAATTTTGTTGGTGGCTTCCTTCTCCTTTATTGATGGAACCAACTTCTCCATGAGAGTTAGTGGTTGATTCCTTCTCTTCTCCAAGGTTGATATGATGTGAAGGATGATCTCTTCAAGGGTATGGAAGTGGAGGATTTGGTGTTTGGGAAGGTGAAGGGTGACACACAAAATGAAGGAGAGAAATGGATGGTGTTTGGTGGTGTAGCTCCTTTAGGCTAGCTCACTTCACTTAGGATGATGAAGGCCAACCAAGGAAGACCCAAGCTCACTCTAGGTAGAGAGGAGAGGATAGGGGGCCATGGAGTTCCTAGGGGACTAAGGAAGGAATGAAGAGGCACAAAGGCTCACTCAAATTCATTAATTTCCAAAGTGGCTACAAGGTGGGTTACCTAGAGTACTTATAGGGAAAGAAAGGCATCTAGGGTTTCTTGGGAGCATTTGGCCGAAATTTTGGTGTCCAAATGCACCCTAAATGAACCCTAAATGCATCCCAAATGAAATGGGTCTCATCCCTCCTAAAAGACTAAAGTACCCTTAGGTCAAAAAAAAGAAAGGAATGGACTTTTGACCTTAAAAATAAGGGTTAAGTCCTAAAATAAATCCTAAGACTAATTTTTCCCCATAATACAAAGGCTAAATAAAAATAAAAAATAAAATCCTAATATCTAATGTACCCCAAAATACAAGGGCAAAATGGGAAAACGAATTAACAAATTAAGGAGATGGCTAAAATTCCACACACATGATGCGAGTACAGTCTCCTAATATCTAATGTACCCCTCATGGCTTTGTCGTATACCGGTTAGGATGCGAGTACAGTCTCTCCAGACCTTTCCCTCACGACTTTGTCGTATACCGCGATGGTCCTCCATCATTTATGTTTTCTAAACTCTAAAGGGTGAGCATGTACATGAAAAGTAAAAGAAGTGTAAAACTAATCAAGGGAAAATCACTCTTAAAAAAAATTAAAAAAAAACTACTAACCTCCTTTAACCCTTTAGTTAACAATATTTAACCATGGTTATCAAATTCCTTCACTTAATAATAAATAAATAAATAATAGAACTCTTAATAAATTCCACAATATATTCATATAAAAATAATTATTAAAACCAACATTATTAATTACAAAAAAATATAATAATCAATAAATAAGCACATATTTTAATTTATGAAAAATGGAGAATTATAATGTTTGACCTTGATGTCGAAAAGTAGAGATGATTATGATTCGATGCATTTTTTTATTTGTCTTTACAAAATGATGGATATTAAATTCTTAAAAATTCACCCCTGTCTCTAAAGTTAGAAAAAGTGAGGTTGCAATTATCCTAAGAAAATTATGTTCGTATTAAAAAAAAAAAAGGTACATGGACCCTAAATATTTGTCCCTCATGAATTCGTAAAAAATGGTTATGCTTACATAAGGAATCTTTTAACTGACATATGGTGTAAAAGATATATGAACCATTTATGATGATGCCAAACCTTGATATTGAAAAGCAAATGTAGCTATTTTTTGATGAATTTTTTATTCATCAAAATAAAATATAAGATATTAAATCCCTAAAAATTTGGCCCAGTCCAAGAAGTTGGGAAAATAAAGTTCTAATTTTTAGATGAACATTATGTTCATCATTTGGAAAAATAAGGTGCATCAACCCTAAATGTTTGTTGTTGATCTTGAATTATGAATAAGTCGATTATATTTACATGATGAATCTCTTAATTAATATGATGAAAAAGGTTTATGAACATTTTTATTATTATTACTGACCTTGATGTCGAAAAGTAAAATTGATAATTATTAGATACATTTTTTATTCATCTTAAGAAAATAATGGTATTAAAATCTTTAAAAATTGTCATTTGAAAAATAAGATAGATGAACAATAAATGTTTGTCCATGAACTATTTAATGCATTTTTTATTCATCATGAGAAAATATTGGTTATTAAAGTCCTAAAAATTTGTCCATGTCTCTTAAGTTAGAACCCTCAAGTTTCCATTGTTAGAAGACCATTATGTTCATCATTTGAAAAAATAGGGTACATGTCCCTAAATGTTTGTGTCTAATCATGAATTCAGAAAAATTCAATTGTATTTGCACTATTAATATTTTAATCAACATATGATGAAAATGATATGAGAACCTTTTATGATTATGTGTGACTATGAGGTTGAAAACTAAATGTAGCTCTTATTTGATGTATTTTTTATTCATCAAAACAAAATATAGGGTATTAAATTCCTAGAAATTTGGCATTTGTTATCGCTAGAAAAGTGTAAGACTTAATGTTGGGTTAGCTGAGAAAGGAAACTAAAATTTCAATCCAAAATTCAGTTTGTCAATTTTGGTGGAAAGGATCCTCAAGAGAGATCTAGCCGAAATAATGATTCAAAATTCAAAAGATGAGACAAAAAGACAAGGAACGTGCAAAGAAAAACGGTTGAAAGACACTGCTAGATGTGGATCCTAATAGTGTATTTGGATGGAAAATTTAAATGGAATAATTCATTTATTTGAAGAATTTAAAGTTCTTTGAGGAGAAATACCTTGTTTGGATGGATAATTTATAAGGAATTTAAAATTCAAGCATTTGTAAAATTTTTTGAAATAGTAGAATTTCAAATTCTCCCAAAGTAAGAATTTGAAATTCCTCATTTTTTTTTTCTTATTTCACTTATATATTTTATCTTATCTCTTATCTCTTCATGTTTTTAATTATTGAATATTCAAAAATATTTTTTAAATTATTAAATATTATCTAATATTAATTTTTAAAATTATTAAATATTTAAAATTAGCAAATATTTATTTTTATAAAATTTAATTTAAAAATCTGAACATATAAATATATTTTTAAATTCAATTTTACCATGATAGAATCAAATTATCATATTCAACCCAACAATTTAAAATTTGAGAGATTTGAATTGACTTATCCAAACAAAATATTTTAAGAATGATAAAAATTAAAATCAAAGTAATTTAAATACCAAGAATTTAAAATTCCTTAAATTTATAAAATTTCTCATCCAAACACACCAAAAAAAAAAAAAAGTTTGGTGGCAATCCTTGAAAATTAGGCGCACGCACAATACAAATTTAGCTTAACTCTAGTTCGCCAAAAAAATAGAATTAACTTCAGTACTAATCGAAACACTTTGAACCATCATCGTTATTTAGCTAGGCTAATTCACTAGTATAAATTCATGTATTCAAATTTGAAAGAATCAAATCTAAATCAATACAAATTCGAATTTATTATGATTTGTCATTTAATTTCAAATTTACAACTTTGCTTTGAGCTTTCTTTACTATTTTTTTTTTTAAATTCCTTATTGCTTCAATAACAGATCACTTCACCAATCATAAGTATCTTGAGAACCCATTTTTGTCGAAGGGCAGATTTCCCCCTTTTAACATTCAAATTGCCTGAACTAAACTCATTTGGGAATCATGTTGGAACTAGCTTAACTGAAAAACATTCAACTAGCTTTAAGTTTATCACACAACTACATAATCATGTTGAGAGGTGTAAGTAATGTAAACAAGATTTTTGTCTTCTACATACGTGTTATTTGTTGAACCTCACGATTGTACGAGACATGCTGAATCTATATTAGGAAAATTTGAAAAAGTTATGTAATTGCATGCTACTTTATTTCTATCTGATTATTTGCAATAATAACATAATATTTATAATATATGGGAGATAAAACACATTTAATGACAATTAATGTGGACTTTCAACATTTTCTTTTATAAAAATTCAACCAAATTTTTTATATCCTTTTCAAAAAAATGTGTTTGGTACAACGTCTACTTTCTTAGGGAATCCCAAAAAAAGTTGGGCAACACACTACCTAAGTACAACACCTGGTCCCTATATCAGTGTGCTACTTGTACTTAATTTTACTAGAAATTAGTGTATACTACTTCACAAAATGCATGTAATTCTATTCAGTCCCCAACAGTTTGACCATAAGCATTAACTTTTCAAAAGTTCCTGAATCATATTCCTTGCCTCAGCCAGAGTACGTGGGTAAGAAACTTCTTTTGCCCATATATGCTGCATGCTTTGCACATTTATCGTATCTGTAAGGTATTCTGTTTCCAACCATCTTATTTCCTCTGCATCCATCCCATTAGCAACTACATTCTGCTCAGATCAGGTTAAAAGTCTTATTTAGACAAATATTTTAGAGCCAAAGAAAATGAAATGAGTTGAATCAAGATGGAAAATGTATGATTCTATACAAATAAGGAACCCATGCACGCTAGCAGTGAGCAACAAATCAGAGTCATACTAAATGACATCACTGAACTTTATATGACTTCCTTACTAACAAATGAAGATTTTCCTTTTATTTTTCCCATGAAGAATGTAGTTTTGATAAAGTTGACACAATATACCAGTCAATTTTCTATTTCTCTACTCTCCAAAATCTTCATGACAAACTAATTATTTTAGGCTAGTTCAGATCCTTATATTGTTAACTCACCCATATTCTGCCAACACATGCGTTGAATATTATCAACTTGAGGAGGTTTTCATCAGAACTGCAAAGAGCATTACCAGAAGTAACAGAAACAACAAGATCTTGATATGGAGAATCAATATATAATCCATGGTTTTTCAAAGTAATTCTTTTGTGATTTTTCAAAATTCTCCCTAGATGATAAGATGTGGAAAGTTCTTCGCGTAGTCTCAACAAGGTTGCTGCCCTTTCGGCATTAGCCCAGCAACAACATGATGATGACCCATCTTCTGCGTGAATCATGAAATGCCGAGTAAAATATCATTAAAAGAAATGGTCACAGAAGCTAGAATATAGAGGAGATCCAAAACATGATACGAGAAAAAGTGAACATGGTAAGCCTGCTTGATAGGTTCAGTACATCAAGGATCACATAAAAGAAGCTAGTTTTTTGTCAAATAGAATTTACTAGGCCATGTATTGCGTACTTGTGATTGAAGAAAGCACACACTAACCATCGTTAATATATTAGAATCCTCACAATCAGCCTTGGTTAAAATATTGTGCAACTTATTGGTACTACAACATACAAGTACAACTTATTGACAACAGAAAGAATTTAACTATGCATAATCAATTACAAGTATCATGTGTACGGAAGCTGCCAAGAGAATAATAGATATGGCCATCAGCACAAATAATCAAACAAAAAGAATCCCAAAACACATCTATAAGGACATAGACAGTGATTGAGTTGTTAGCTGACTTTTCTTCACTTAACTGTACTTAATTTTTAACAGTTAACTTACCCAACAAAAAACAAGCAAGTGGAATGTCCAAAAGAGTCCCCTTAGCATTATTTTTTGTTCCTGCAATAAAATTTGTAGTCTTTCTCTCTACAACTAATGCAAAGACTGCAACTACCTGTTGACAAAAGTCAATAGCAAACATAATGTTCTTTGAGTGCACACATATTTCATAGATAAATATAAAACAATTTACCCTGCATCGAAGCACTATTTGCTTGTGGCTCAAGCTCTGAGGCAATTGGGAAATCAAGCAAGTGATAGAATCTTGAGATGCAGTGTCAGCATCATTAGTATGGTTTAATAAAGAGGACCTGCCACTGCATTGTTTATCACATACTTTTATCGATTTTATTACAATAAATGACACAGGCAGCAACATAAATTTATTTTGTCCCCTACAGAACCAAAGATAAGGAATCAATTTTGTTGCACAAACCACAAATTAAACAAATTTCGTGCATATTGGAAAATGGAAGCGAAATATTGAATAGACAGAACAGAAAGGCATGTAAGAACTGGATCCCACTAACTTGTCAGGTATCCAGTGCATACCTTGCATTGAGAATCCGATGAAATGTTGCAGTTACACCAGCTCCAAATCCAGTAGGGAAAGCATGTTTATTTACAGAACCAAAAATATTCACCTATTAAGAAATAAAATAACAAGACTAAGTTGCCAAAATAAGCACAGAAATATATAAGGTTAATTATCATTTAAAGTTTCATGAACTTTACCTTTTAATCCTTATAATTAAAAACATTTCCATTTAGTTCCTATACATAATACATATCATTTTTTGTTTCCTTTTAGTCTCTAATTTTTTTCATAACTTCACCTTTTAGTCCCTATAACAATAAATATCAGGAACTAAAAGGAAACAAAAATGGTATATATAGAGACTTAAATGGAATGCTTTTTAATTATACAAACTAAAAGTTAAAGTTTATGAAACTATAAGTTTAAAAATAATTAAACCTAAATATAAATATAAATATAGGGTGAGATGGGATTGCAATTACAACATGGTTATGCACTAAAACATGAATGCAGAAACTGCTTCTTGTCCCATTGAGGCCTTTCAAGTTAAGAGCATCAAGGTTTGCACTGCTTGAACATGAATTGAAGAAACCAGAGCCAATTTCGTGAATGTCAACCACATTTCCCTCTAGCGTGATCAAATTGCCCTCAGGGAACAAGCTGTTTGATCTCTGAGATCCAAAACATGAATTAGGCTGAAACAATACAGTCCCAGTACCTGAAGAAAGGTTAGCACTATCTTCTGGTATTGCAGATTGCAAGTTTTGACAATCTTCTGATTCCATATTATTACCCTCCAAGACGACTGCAAGATTGATGGGGAGATAAAGGCAAACATCAGAACAGACACCTGAAGGTTCACCATTTGACCTCGTCAAAAGATTTTGATCTTTAGGCAAAACTCCATCAGTGGTAGGAGATAAAGAATCTTTTGCAGTTGTATATTTTGATAGATAATCAGAAAGATTCTCATCATAAATAAATGAGAGGCTCCAGATAGGTTTTCCAGAATTAACAAGTAATTTAGCACTTCCATGGCTAATAAAGTCAGCATCTTCTGTACTGCTGAAGCTGTCCTTTTTGTTATGATTTATGATGTAATAACCACCAATCTGCAACAACTGAAATACAGTACATGGTAAATTAATACTTGGGTTCACACCATAAATGGAAGCATTATTTAAAATTAGTTGATACCTACTGCCCTTGGTAAGCAAGCCAAAGAGAGTACGATACCTGGTGCTTTAAAAATCCATCTGATGAGAAGTCGAGCAAAATTTTCCTTGAAGTTGGTTTTGAATTAAAATGCATATCTTTCATAGGTGGTGTGGAGCGCAAGATAGCTGGGCGAACCACATTCTCATTTTGAAGGCTTCTAAAAGTAATCAGACAAGATACATCATGAAAAGATCTCAAGTTGACAAATTTTGTGTTCTCTTCTGATTTCCTGTCAGTATTAGAACAAGCACTCAGCTCACAAATGGGATTGTGAAATTCATCCTTCAATGAACTTAATGACTCCGTAACAAGTTTCTGCCTCTTAATAGAGACTTTATCCTCATTAATACGACTGATACAATATTTTGGAAGTTCCTTTGCCTTGTCCCAAGAAGCATTGCATGGATGTGATATTCTACTCTTCCCAGCAACCAGTAAAATGAATGGCAAAAGTATGGCTTCAACAAAAGTACTTGACTTGCTCGATCCTGTTTTATTAAAATACTGCAAGAATTGGTATAGGAGATTAGGAGCCTTAGCAGTGCAAAATTGTTGAAAAACAATGCAGATGTTATGCAACCATGGAACATTTTAGGATGAGTAATGAGTGAAGCTATACATGTAGGGGTTATAATATGTTAATAACAAAAGAAAAAAAAACCTCCTTTATCACATCATAATACACTAACAAGATTTTGCATGCATCTGCAAGCATCTAAATAGCTATGTATACTGTATGTGGCAATAACCTTTGGTATCTCTGAATATTGGCTGTATCTAGAATCGATGTTTTAGAATACATTATTGGATTTAGAAGTAGATATAAGGGTTAAACGATACTGTTTGATATTTAAAAAAAAAAAACAAAAAATTCCTGGGCATACCTAAGTTGGTAATAGACAAGATAGCAAAACCTTTTCAGCCAACTGGTAGGAGTTCAAACCTTGGAGTTCCTAATTCCTATAAGGTTTTAGTCAGTATGTGTTTTTGGCCATGCTTGATGTTTGAAGTCAAGCTCAACGATTTTGACTGGTGGGGTCATAATTGAGACAAAAAATCAACTAAAGCATCTACGTTTGACCTAACAGCTAGGGTTAGGTAATTTTTGGTCGATCATAAATTTAGGATTCCATCTCCTAGAAACATCACAATTTGGGAAAAGTCAGATCTGTGCTCCTAAGAATGAATGAGTAAACTTGTATTTAATATATCGAGGAGACTATGATACAAGAAAATTATTCATTCATTTTCTGAATATGCAGAAATAATAACATAATTTCCATAAATCTTCAGGTTTCTTAAACAGATTGCATTCTTAACAATAATTAAATAATTTCAAACAACCAGTAGCAGGCATTTGATCCTGTAATATGGATTTTGAAATTATCATAACCAAGAGGTTTTAATTAATCTATTAATTATATAGAGCTTAAATATATTTTTAGTCCTTGTAAAATGAGTATGTTTTAATTTTAACCCTTTATAAAATAAAATAAAAATTATTTTTTGTCCTTCTAAAATTTGAAACTATAGTTTTAGTCTCTACTATTATGTGATCCTTTTTAACTACATATTTGTTTATTACAAAGTCAAGTGACCATCACAGGACTCAACTTTCTATAATACTTTGTCAACATGTGACACCTCTACAAAGTTTTACAAGTCCTTGAAACAAATGTTATTTATACCTTCAAATAATCATTAGGGACCAAATATAGTGACTTTAGATTTTACAAGAATGAAAATCAAAGAAAAATATTTTGCAAGAACCAAAAACATTTTTTGCTCATTTTACATGGATCAATAACAATGTTTACAAATTTTAGAAGGTTGAAAATAAAAAAAGTATAAAAAGAAATTGCAAGGAGCAGAATCAAAACTCATTTATTTTTCAAGGGCTAAAAATATATTTAAGCCTATATACAAAGAAGTGAAATAACCAAAAATACTTTTAAAAATTGCCTGCCAGTCTGCCAAACAATAATATTAAAGTTACGGACAAACGAGAAAACCTCCAGAAATATCAAATTTTAAAAGGGTTAAACATGTTACTATAAGCTGATACTAATCATACTAGCTGATCTTACGATCTTTTCATCTGTAACTCTTCACTTTTCTTTTAACCATGCAACTTCTCTAATGAACATTTAACTGCAGCTCATAAAGCAATTTAATAATGACTATAGTTACTGATTAAATATACAGTTAAAACATACCTTTTCTTGCAGAGGAAATTTGTGAGACACCCTGAGCAAATGGTAGGATCCAGGTTCTAGTATATCAGTTTCATACTTATGAGTCATACGTGAGAAAAGGGGAATTTTTCTGCATTTAGCATTCTTCCAATGACAGTAAACAAAAATTGATGTGCTCAACTCTCTTTCTGCTTTGGTGCAATTAAAGATTGTTCTGCATGATAATGACTCGCTCCCAAGCAATTCAAACTGATCAACAAGTTCACTTATGCCGTCCACAATAACATCATAGTCCGTCACCTGTAAATCCAATAGGTAAACTATTTTCTATGTAATCTAAGTGCTTTCTACTTATGCAAATTAAAAACCATGACTGAACACCAAAAAAACAAACAAATTAATAAACATGACTAATAGTAAAATAGAACTGTTGATCCATAACTCAGCACTCTGGTTACATAAAAATGGGTATGGCCATACCCACAAGAACATTGTGATAATTTATGGTGTTATGGACAGTGAGTCATACATTGTTTACTTTAAACCAAGAATTCTGAGCCTTTATACGTATATACTTCAGGTTTTAAGAGCCTAAACCTTATATTGTTAAAGAGGGAAAAACAAAGACATTTGGGAAAATCTGTCTGAATACACAATGGATGAGAAAGATCATACAGGCTTATTACATTAATTATATTATACATAAATAACGGACATTTTGTTACCTCTAAATATGATACTATGTGCCTTTAAATTGCTATTATGACAATAAATACATATTGTATCCTGATTTTCAACACTTCCCCTCAAATTGGAGCATTTAAATCATATGCACCCAACTTGTTAGCCAATTCTAGGTCCCTTCAAGTACATGGAGAAAACAACTGCCAACTTATCACTAGTGTTGATGAAGCTAGTGATAATGTCTCCTAACTTGATCTTCTCTCTAATGAAATTACAGTCAAACTCAATATCTTCAATCCTTTCATGAAAAACTGGATTAAAGGCAATATGTAAAGCTGCTTGATTATCACAAATGAGCTTCATTTGTGTTGTCTCTTCAAACTTGAGCTCTCTAAGAAGTTGTTTCAGCCAAGGTTGTCAATCTCGAGAGTTTACGTAATCTCGTGAAGGCTCCGTAAACTCGTATCGTAAACTCGTCTCGTAAACTCGTAAGAGATTACTCAATAAACAAAATTATAAAAATAATTAAAAATTATATAATAATTAAACATTTTAACTTTATATTAAAGAGTAAAATAACAAATTATATTAATAATAAAATAATTTATTAAATATAGCAGGATTACACTATTCTAATTTATTTATATATATATATATATAAATATTAGATAATTTATAATACAAATAATTAATAATATACATATAAAAATAAAAATATAACTATTTATACATTAAATATTTTTAATAATAAAAATTTATAGTAGTTAAACAAAATAAAAAAATTAAGAAAACAAAATATTTAAGGTCTTATATTAAATTTTGTATTACTTAAAATATTATCTAAATTATAATAATAATAATTAATAATTAATAAAGAGAGGTTACTTTCTAAAAAAAATAATGAAGTAAAAACCCTCTTAACCAAATCAAAACAAAAAATAAAACTTGGCCCATTTGGCCCATATTCCAACCCTAATTATTTTTCCTGCAATGCAACCCTTCCTCAAGCCGTCGCCGCTGCCTTCCCTCTTAGAAGAAGACAGATCTGCAGATGCCGGGGAAGACAGAGCCACTGTCAGAGAGGATAGATTGGCGGAGATTCGTCAGAGAGGAGAGGAGACTCGTGGAGGTGTCGCGCGGAGAGGAAAGGAGAAGCGCAGAGGTGTCGCGCGAAGGAGGTGAGGCGCGAAGGAGGAGAGCCGTGGAAGAGGCGCTGCGGAGGTCTGGAGTGGAGAGGAGAGTAGGAGAGGTCTGGTCTAGAGTGAAAGTGCCCTAATACACAACACAAAACGTGCGTTTTGTGTGTGGAAAAAAAAAACGGTGATCTCTTAATATCGGAGGTAGTCTCGCGAGTTTACACGAGTTTACCCGAGTTCACCGAGATCGCTCCGAGTTCACTAAAAAACGAGTTTACCTCCGAGTTGTACAGGTAAGCTCTTGTAAACTCGTAAACTCGTACGAGTTTACGAGTTGTCACTAGAGATTGACAACCATGGTTTCAACCATATTTGTTCACAAGTAACTAAAGCCATAGCCACGTATTCTGCTTCAGCAATTGATCATGCTATAACATTTTGCTTCTAACGAAAAGATACCATGTTTCCTCCCATCAGCACACAATACCCAAAGGCCAAAAGTGGATCGCTATCATTGGGTGAACAAGCCCAGTCAACATCTGAATTGCTGACTATCTGAGCATCCCTTGTCTTCATAATGAGGACTTTTCCTAGGGCCCTTATAATGTATTTTAGTATCCAAATTATTGAATTGAATACATTCTAATGGTCCTAGCAAGGAGAATGCAAGAATTGATTCACCACACGGCTAGAAGAATGACACTGAAATAATTCGACTTTCCAACGAACCTCCTATATCTTCAAAGATCCGATGACGGCTCCCCCTGATTGGGTAGCAATTTGACATTAGGATCCATAGGAGTGTCCACAAGATTGGCATTCAATAGGCCAGTTTCTTCCAAGATATCAAGAGCATATTAACTCTGATAGATTACCAAACCATCTATTGATTGAGCAACTTTAATATAGGAAATATTGAAACTTACCAAAGTCTTTAGTTTGGAACTGGCGTAAGAGGTATTGCTTCCTTAAGTTGAGACTACCATGATGATATGTAAAGACAACATCTGCATAGACAATGAGATATACGCATCCTTAAGGTAAATGAATGGTGAAGGAAAACAAAGTGGTCGACTTCACTATGAACCATACCAAATAGTTGCACTTGCACAACAGGACAAATTAGTCAAACCAAGATCGAGGGGATAGTTTAAGTGCATAGACTTGAAATTGTATCTTTGTCTGTAGTTCCAAACTAAGGACCTTGGCAAACTTTGATACTTTCTAGGAATTAAAGTTGCTCAATCCAAGGACGGTTTGTTGCTATCTCAGAGAAAGTATGCACTTGACATCCTGGAAGAAATTGGCCTTCTAAATGCTAAACCAATTGACACTTCGATGGATCCAACTGTAAAATTGATACCTGATTAGGGAGAGTTGTATGCAAATACTAGAAGATATAGAAGGCTGGTTGGAAAGCTAAATTACCTCATGACCACTCAACCTGACATTACCTTTGTTGCTAGTGCGATGAGCCAATTCTTGAATTCTCCTTTCCAGACCATTGGCTTGTCATTATTCAAATTCTTAAATACATTAAGAAAATCCCAAGCAAAGGTCTCATTTATGAGGATAAGGGTCACTTTGACATAGTTGGATATTCAGATGTTGATTGGGTTGGTTCACCCAATGATTGGATATCCACATCTAGATACTATGTGTTGATTGGTGGAAACCTAATTTCTTAGAGAAGCAAGCAGCTAAATGTTGTAGCAAGATCAACTATTGAAGCAGAACACAGGGCCATAACATTAGTAACTTATGAACTCATATGGTTGAACAGCTCCTTAGAGAACTCAGATTTGAAGAAAAGATAAAGATGACTCCCATGTGTGATAACCAGGTTGCACTTCATATTGCCTCTAATCCAGTTTTTCATGAAAGAACCAAGCATATTGAAGTTGATTGTCACTTCATCAAAGAAAAAGTTGAGTCAGCGGATTTGTTACAAGATTTGTCAACTCTGTTGATCAACTGGCAGATGTCTTAACTAAACCCCTAAGAGGACCTAGAATTGAATATATTAGTAACAAGTTGGACACATTTGACTTATATGGAGGGAGTGTTGAGAATCTTAGATATCATCTAATCTTGATATTATCTTATCTTGATTTTACATATAGTATGTGGAGATAATATCTTAGAGATTATAGGAAATCATATATTTTATATTCATGTGCAATCTATGAAATAAATCTATATAAACATTCATCCGGTGTGTATTGAGACACATAGTTTTAGTCAATTATTCTTCTCTATTCTTTGACTCTTAATAAGGATCAATGTTTCGAACAAACGATTGGAGCAAGGCATGAGTCCACTCTCACCACCAGCTGCTTGTGTCTCACATTCCTCCCCAGCTCTTGCACATAAGTGACTCAAACACCCTAGTTTAGAGAAGTTACGCCTTTTGCTTCCTAGTCTTTTTATTGTTACATCTCTTCAAAGTGATTCTTCTCCGTTAGGAAAAGACACTCAACATACTTATAATCCTCTTGTCAATAAACAGGTCACGTCACTAGTCGAGTCTGTTCCACCTTCATGCATTTCTATTTGGTCACTTTTATCAATGATTTTTCTCGTTTTACATGGATATTTTTAATGAAAATCATTCTAATGTCTTCTCTATATATCGAGTTTTCTCAAATGAGATTCACAATCAGGTTGGCACTTCAATTAAAGTTTTAAGAACTAATAATGCCAACGAGTATGTCTTGTTTTCAATCATTTTTCACCTCACAGGGATATCTTCATATAACTTCATGTGCCCACACACCACAACAAAATGGTGTTGTCAAACAAAAAAATCATCACCTAGTCAAAACAGCTCCTACTCTCCTTCATTATAATGTTCCTTTCTATTTTTAGGGTGATGCACTTCTAGTTCTAACAACATGTTATCTTATCAACCTCATGCCTTTGTCTGTCCTTGACAATCAAGTTCCTTACTCCACTTGTATCCTCAAAAACCTCTATGCATTATCCCTCTCCATGACTTTGGTTACACTTGCTTCATACATGATCTCACTTTAGGTAAAGATAAATTTTTTCCAAGTTAGTCAAGTGTATCTTCCTTGGCTACTCACGCCTTCAAAAAAAGTTATTATTGCTTTTTTCCTCAACTTCAACAATACCTTATCTCTGTTGATGTTACATTCTTCGAGTCCACCCCTTTATTCTCTTCTCCCACAGATGAAGATGGTCCTTTAGATGTTCCACTTGTTCCGTTAGTCGTTCCAACACCAATTGTTGCCTCTACTCCACCGCCATTAATTACCTACACAAGCGAACACAACCTCCACCAGTGATCCCATCTATTAATCCTCTAACATCATCTCCTACTCCAATTGCCCCCTTTGCCTACATCTCATGCACCTGACCTTCCCATTGCTCTTTGAAAAGGTATTTGATCATCTCGCAATCCTAACACTTTATATGCTTTTTCTATCAATTATGATCGTTTACCTCCCTCTGATTTTTCCTTTATCTCCTCTTTGAATTTTGTGTCTATTCCTAATTCTACAAGTGAAGCCATGACTAATCCCAACTGGCAATGGGCAAGGTTGGAGATGTCTAATTTACATGCTAGCGACACCTAGGAACTAGCCCCTTTACCCCCCTCCCCCCCCATAAACAAGAAAATGGGTTGTAGATGGGTCTATATGGTGAAGATTGGTCCAGATGGCAATATTGACCACTTTAAGGCTAGCTTGGTAGCTAAAGCTTACGCTCAAATCTTTGGACTCAATCATGGGGACTAGGCATGGCAACGGGACGAGGCAGGGGCGGGTTTTACGTTCCCCGCCCCCGCAAATTTAAACCACCTTTGCCCTCGATACCCGCTGGGGGTAAAATCTGGGTACTCATAGGGATGGCAATGGGGTCCCATGGGGGCGGGTAATAGTAAACCCGTCCCCGCCCCGCTAGATGAAAAGTGGCCCCATACCCACCCCATATCCACGCGGGTATCCATTAAGTGGATATCCATAAATTTCTTGAATACCCACGGATATCCATGAATATCCATGGATATTTATAAATTTTTTAAGAAATTAAAAAAATTATATTACAAATAATTTTAAGTTTATATTTAATGTCATTGAAATATTAAAAAAAATTCAATGTTAATTTTGAACTTGTATTTAACGTTAATTTTGTTAAAATAATAATAAAAATGCAAGATAATCAATAACTTAAAATACATCAATCTCATAAGTAAGTGAAAGTCTCATGTTACATAGCTACAATTATTCAATCTCATAATTCTAAACGAAAGTAAACAACTAAAAATACATAAATCGTATTGGCCCAATCAAAGATAGAAAATTAATCAAATTACATCTAACATAATTTTATAACATGCTTAACACATGTTGGTAACTTCATCAACCTCACTTTT